GGAGGGGAGCGAGTGGGGAGGGGAGCGAGTGGGGAGGGGAGCGAGGGGGAACGGGAGAGAGTGGAAACGGATGTTCGAGCCTGAGAGATTGGATGAACATTGATTACTGATCATTAGTGGACAACAAACGTGTGGTAGTCATTGGGATGTACGAATACAAGGAGAGTGTATTACAGACAGGGAATGGAATGCCATCATAGCTTTGGGGTGATAGGGTACCTGCCGAATGGTATGTGTGCTGTGGGACTCTCCGCGAGGTATGTTAGCCACTGTATGTGACGAGGTACACATTGTAAAATCCTTACTGAGTCGTAGGGCAGGTGTTGCAATGATCTACACAAGATGGTTCTGAACTCGAGAACTGAGTATGTGACTGACGAAAAGGCATGCAGCTGACTTCAGTGACATGTCTCAAAGCGTATTGGCGCTAAATTTTAGATAAGAAAATATTTCTTTGTACACTGAATATTCGTACTTTTTAGACACGAATATGTAAATTTTATTTTAAATTATATAAGGCAGGTAAAATAAGTCTTGTTTTAGTGGAGATGTAAATATTATATTTAGAAATGTTACAGCATTTTTTTAGTTTTGTTGTTTATATGGTGTTGTTAGGGAACTTGAAAAATGCTCCAAAACAGGGGAAATCAATAGCGTGTCACAGCCACAAATTATGAGTCATAGTAGAGATGTAAATATTTTGATACCTACCGTTGAATTTATTATTTAAATGGTGTTATGAAACGTATTGAAAGCAGCTCCAAACAATACAAAAATCAATACGTGTAGATGCTGTTACAAAAATGTACGTGTTATTAGGAACCCACGTATTATCTATTGCATTAATTATTATTGCATTTTTTTAGTGTTGTAATTTATGTGGTCTTTCTATGTAAACTACCATTAATTAATAAATTTCATTACCTTCTACCTTCCCACATACTCTTCCAAACTTCTATCAACAATTCCAATCCCGTTTCTTCCTTTCATAACTAATGTGTCATTCAAAAGCTTCTTTTCCTCAGCAGCTTTGCCTCTTTTTTGCTAGTAAGTTCACAAGGACCAGAATTTCCTCTTCTATCTGCATTTCAACATTACTACATCTCTTATTTAAAAATTAAACTCTAGTTGATAGTTTTTAATACTCATTAATCCGTTGAAAATTGTCTAAGATCAAATTAAGTGATATTTGTAATGCAATGGGAGTTCATTTGTATATACAAATTTCTCTTCTAATTGTATATGTGTGTAATTAACCCGAACACTGAGAAAAAATACTTATTCTCGAACAGATTCCTGAATTGTGTACGCAGGTAGGTATTGAAATAGGGTATAAACAAGGATCCAGTTTTCTGAAGCAATATGAAATGTAATGTACAACTCTATAAGGCAAAGGCGATTGTCGTTACCTAGACTAGAAATGTAGATAATTACATGAATATAAAAAATAATCCGTTCATATGGATTCACGTACGTAGCCGTCGGTGGCTTGTGGGTTAGCGTGCTCACGGCGCAACCCCGGGTTTGATTCCCGGTCGGGACAAAATATAATTGTGCGCTTTCCTTGCAATGTCACAGTAACTGTTACTGTGTAACGATGAGAAAGCTGACTTCCCCGGTCGAGAAGACTAGAATACCGGGTAGGGATGTCTGTGTGCTAACCGCACGTACCCTTTTTCCCATGGTCGAAAGGCCGGGACGCATAAGTAGGTCTTGGCTCGTAAAGAGCTGTTGTGCCAAAGGTACATATACATACATTCATGAAGTCATTGCAGAGTTCATTGCAGAATCTGGCATAATATTAGGAAACGTACGTTATAATACTTGTATTAATTATTTCACATCATTTATTAATATTTACCGTGTGTTGTACTGTAATGCTTACGGCACTAAACGGATAATAGCCACACTACCTACAAAATTGATTACAATTCTGATGTAATAAAAAAAAACATTAATAGGCAATGAAAGATAATTACAGAAACACTAGATATAAGATATATTACGAATTTGTATGCAGGACAGTTATTAAATGTAAAAAGAAAATCGGCGATAGTAGAAGAGGATGGAATACCTGTTGTTTAATTTATCTTTACATTTTGTTTATAATATTTATCTCAATGCTTAGGTATGAGCGGCATTGAAAATGTATTCTATTTTGTACCTAATGCAAATATTTCGTTTAATATTTGTAATAATATCTAGTAACTGTTTTGCCGGATTGACTTTAATACTTACGTATTTACTGCATGATAATGCAGGCGGACTGCCCTTATGGGATAGTCTTAATATATTTTTCTATCTGAATCTGAACATTTATTTCTAGAATTGGGATACGAAATTATATTTCGTTGAAAAGTCAACCATTCAATAATATTGACAATATTTGTTGAAATAAAATACCTTAACATTCTAGATAATTTTTATACAAATGCGCATGTCATATTATTGTTGTATATATTATTCAATTGTTGGCAACTCAAACATGTTATTGATATTACATCCTTTTATAGTACAACCCTCATGAGTTTTAGTTTGATCAGGTTTATTTTATAAGCTTCGTTTCAAATTTATTGTGGACCAATCATTTATCAAAATTTCTCAAATACTAATGAATGTGACATATCCTTCATAAAATTTCCAGAAGGCGTGGTATTAATATTTTGCTTCAAAAATTTTGTCGTTCGTTGCCGTTGGTCATATTGAATGAAGTCTTGATCGAAGCCGCGTCGTTACTTCGGATGTTCTAACGACGAGATTCTTCTTTCTTGAGGTTCTCTCCCGGTATTTATGATCTTAAATACTAAGTAATTATGATTCTGTCCATGGACGGCGTGTACATAATATTTGCTATATTGACATATAAACATAGTACAAAGTAATAATCAAACTTCAAAAGTTAGCCTCCACCAACTTCAATGTGTTTTCTAACACATATGGCTCTTTTGTAAACAACCTTCGTTCATGCTTCTATAGCCTCTTTTCCTGCCTCTGCTCGTCTTTCAACTTCTATTCGTCCCTCTTGTATTATCTAACAGGTCCTCCAGCTTATCCCCGCACCCATCTCAAGCTGACGCATCTTCGCGTTGGCGTTGTCTCTCTCTTCCTTGAAAATCCCTTTCCAATCTTCTCTCTATTTTCTCTCCACCATCTTCACTCCTCCATCTACTTCCCTCTCTGCACCTGATCCATCCTCCATCCGCGCCTCTCATCATTTATTTATTTGTTCATCGCCGAATGCCTTCGTCCTTCAATTCAATTCAACGATGCCTTATTTTCTGTGGCGAGACTCGGGCCATGAAGCCTGCTCTTCCGCCTGACCACGCAAATTGCGCTGCGCTCCTTTCACCCTCTAGCGGAGAAAGGAGGTATCACTCGGGAGACGAAACAGGTAAATTGAATTTTAGCTCACAGGCTTCATTTAGGCTTGAGGATCGTTAGCGTACTATAAATCTACTACATTGGACAGCCTGCTTTACTTACCCCCTGAAGAAAGGCACACCAATGGTTTCTTTCGCCCATAAATATCCACGGATTAGTTCGAATTCGAATCTGTGAACTTGGGTATAACAGTCCGATAACCGTTACACCACCGAATACGTTCCCTCTGTTGCCCATGTCCTTCCTCAACATCCCCGTCTTCCAACCTATCACCCCGTTCATTCACACCCCTCTTCTTACTACGACCCTGCCCTTGCCGCCTCCGTCACTGCTTCCGCCTTTTTCGCAAGTTCTCCTGCAACAACTGCTCTGCCTCGTCTATCACCGCTACTTCCGCTTCCGGCTCCGTTCTCTGCCACATCCGCCACGTCTCCAACTCATCCTCCAGAGTTTCTTTCGGCGCTCGTTCCGCGCCCTGCTGGGCGTAAGATGACGCGTTCGGACGAGTAGGGCTCTTTCCCCTCGAGTCCGATCCCTCCCATCCACATCCCCCCGCCACACGCTCGGGATCCCCTCCTCTCCCTCCGGATACCCTCCACTTGCCACGGTTCCGCTTCCCCTCTCACGGTTTCCGCTCCGCCTTTCATGGCGGTTTTCTCTCCG